TAAGTCTCCACACAAAATTATCTTGTCTATCAAGGTATTACCTAATACTTTCTGTATCATTCACCTAGGCATCTGAAACGTAATTAAACAAATAAAGCATTACAATGATACAAGTAGGTCACCATAACAACATATGAGATAACACTGAAGTGAACTAAGTATAATAGCTTTAAAAGTGACATCAGGCTCATATTTTCATTGTCAAGTTGACTGACCAAAGGTTGATATTGAAACATATAGGATAAAAAATATACCCTAAATATGAAAAGACTGCCCCACTTGAATGTTAAAAAACTTTTATGATTGGTATTTACAGAAATTTCATTGGGTCATGTGAGCTATTGAAGTAAATTATAAAATTGAAAGGAATTATGGCAAAATGTAAACCTATTTCGACCTTCACCTGTTCACTCACTATATACCCTGAATTTGGCATATTTTATTGCTTTCTGTAAAAACAACAACAACAAACATATGATATTATATACATTCAACCTAAATGTAATACAGATAAGAAGTAATATAATACCATATACCATTGTTATATATGATATTGATATAGCATGTGACATGTTCTAGCTATTAGTCCGAAGGAAATATCTCATAATCAAATAAAACGAATTTTCCCATATAATTTAAAGGGCAAATAGACTAAAGTGCATACAATTTCTACAGTAGATTTATTCTTAGAAGGAATTAGTGAGGAAAACATTGAAAGAGATTTCTTTATACTTTTCTTTATGTTCAATTAATAAAAGACGAGATATATATTATTCTTATCATAAAAAGCAGATTTTCCATAAAAAAATTGGACGATAACGAATGTATTCCTTTCATGTTTATTTATAGTTAAACTTTACTTTTTGAGTCAGTCCCATGTAATTGCCTTGTCCTAGAGTTATATTGTACGCAGATAAAATACTTGAAATAAAACCATGGTAACTCTGACTTTAAAAAAAAAATATGAATAGTTATAGTTGTCCATTTACAAAGTTAAATATCAATTTTACGTTCCATTCTCGAATTTGCCATAAAGATGAATCTATTATTAGATTAATCATAATTTAACAATAAAGCCAATATGATAAAGAACTAATTTATATCTCGTATATGACTACTAATGTTTAAAAAGTTATTGTCACAAAAAAGGATGATTCTGTTGATAACAACTTTCATTTATTAGAAAAAAAAAAAACATGGACCCAGACAAAATCAATTAAATATTTCCCAATGCAACAATTACTTTGTTATATAATTTCGATCGTACTTACATGTGAGTCTGAATTATATGCTAATAATATTAGCACTTAATGTAAATGTGACACAATATGAAATGCATTGTCCGTTAGGAATTCTCTTAGCAATTGATTGTATGATATCATATGAGATTTTAATGAATATTATAATTGTAATAGAAATTTCATAGTCACAAAACAGATAACAATGATAATGAATCACATTAAAACCAGCACTTATGAAATATGAATATTACTTATTCATTTTGTTTCTGTGTATAATTCTTTATAATGCTATAATTAAGGTCTGCCGTTATCATTTTGAACACTTTATCAAACAATTACTTTTTAAAAGGCGCAAGTAAGGAAACAGACGACATGCCCTACCTGAGGAACAATGTGAAGCGTGTAAGACTTTTTCATTTGATCATATTGCTTTATATTTGGACTGTACCCGAAACAATTAACTGTGATCTTCTATACAACTGTTATTTATAAGGAAAGGAAATGATTTGTGTGATTTTCAAACCAATCATATACAACTCTTATTGTACTGGAAGCAACTTGAAGTTCTATCGAAACATCAAAGAAATGTTTTGTTTGTGTAATAAAATTGTCGTTATATTCTTTGTTATCATATATAATGAGTCTACAGAACAGAACACCTATTTCAGACTAAGCCTGTGCTTCGTCCAATGTGTTGATAGCTGGGTACTCGTTCAGTAGATAATAACTTTATATTTTTGTTTCTAAATACATCAAAAACTCTTTAGAAACTTCATTCCTTCTGGAATTACATGTACCTAGTAATATTTTTAAATATTCAGATATAATAAGTATATTGATTCTTGGTACTGTCTTCTTAATTTAATTTTTGTTTGTTAAAAAAAACATCATCTTGACATTGACTTGCTCTAAGTTTAACTTATCATCTTGCGTTTATATTTAACTACATTAATTATGAGACTTGTTGTAACAATAGGCTAAATAATATAAGGACAGGGTGTTTCAAAAAATATGTCCACATTTTACACAAGTAATAAATCTGTGTTTGGATAAATTTAGTTTTATGACCATGTTAGAGAATAAAACAAAAGATTAGATAAGTATATACAGCAAGTCAATTATAAAATTATCAAAATTTTTTTGTATACATGTATTTGAAATACACTACATAAAACAATAGTTTGCAAAGGCATGAAAACATCGGAACGTGTTACTTCAGGAGATATTTGAAACAGAATCAGGCACTCATTGCTATCATGAATAAATTTAAATAAAATCGGAAGGATAAAAAGAAATACTATGGAATTTTGCCAACGTTCAATAGAAACATAAATGAACTGGTTATATATCTAATGATTTAAAACGTCTTTTACGTTCGAGTTACTGTAAATTAATAAAACGATATCATTAACATGACGCCTTTACAATATTAAGCAAATTTATTTTTTCATTAATTTTCTTTTTCTTTTTTATAGTTTGTTGTTTGCTTCAGTGGAAACATCTAATTTTGTATTACATGTTTGATTATCATTTCAAAGAGCTTTTGAAAACTTTTCTCTGATGATGACTTATTTAGCTCTAAGGAGCATGGTGTCATGTTCATCGAGCTTTGTAATTTGTAAAATAATTGGACGCAGCTGTCTTACAATACGAACATGATCTTGCTATGATTATAATTCAAACGATTTTATTTTAAGACACGCATACATTTAATTGATTTAGTTTACATGATTTGCATTTCCTTTCGAATTACAATTTTAATATACCATTACAGACAAAACAAATTAATCGTGATTTCGCAGTAAGTCATTTCGAAAGACTGGAAATATTATATAAAAATAGATATCAAATGCACATAAGGCTTTAACTTGGAATTGAGCAAGAGGTTGGTTTTGTGCATATTATGTTTTAATACTTGATGTTGAGCACGTTATATGTTACCTATGTGAAGATAAAGAGATTAAATATGAAATAATTTCTCATGATTATAGCAAATATAAGCATAATGATTTTGATTTTTTTTTTTTTGGATAACATTTTTACAAGAACTTTGACTTCACTCATTGCCATAAGAGATGTAAAGATGGGCCCAGTTGTATGGCCGATGTGAACCACAATTATAAAAAAGTATATATAGTGTATATTGATGCTCAGACCAATCAAACAGTTCTGCACAATAATGTTGTTGAAACAATGTTCTTCCACTACGAATATGTACGCATTATATATAAATTATTTGATTGGCTATTGAAATTCATCTTAAATTGTAAGGATAATCGTAGAGTTGAATTGGCATTATAGCATACATATCATTTAATAGATAAAAAAGTTATATAGAATTTATTGAAAATGTACCTGTCATTAGACTCGATGTTCCGTTTTAACCAAAATAGTTGACATTTCGACCATCGAATCAAATGATCCTGTCATTTCAACTTTATCGAAAAGCAATTCCAGTTTCCTGGTCAATTATTGTCCGTAAAATTTGACGAACATAAGATGAATGATAAAATTTTGGACAAACAAAAATATCCCGCCGCCACCAACCGGCTTTTTACATTTTGAGTAGTGTATATTTCAGTACAGGTATTTTTTAATATGCGTTTTTTTAATACCATGCTAATGTTAACAAAGAAATATTCTTGTGTTTTTGGGCTACATACCAATAGTGGTGAAGAAAGATATGTTCTTAAACATAAGTTTAGGATAACGACGAACAAACGAAGAACACATTGCAATTACGAGGGCCATCGGTAATCTTTGAGACTACGTGCTTAGGCGGGCTAAACTGGTTATAAATAAAACGCAAGTATACAATTTATCATCTACTCTTTGTAAATTAAACAATATTTATATATATCCATTATTACTTTTACATTTAAATTGCATCATTTCTTTCCAATTTACCAATTTATACAAATGCTTTTATGGACATGTTTCCCAAATTTGTATTATTTAAAACTTCCTCTTATGCAATTTAACTTTATAAAGCCGAACATGGCGTCTGGTTCCGTGAGTTTGCAATTTTCTATATGATTTAGTATACTTGTCTGACAATTTGACATTTAACTTTATATATATATGACTTCTCAAATGAAACATATAAACTGCATTATTTTGTTAGGTATGATTTGCATTTTCTTTAGAATTCATAGTTTAAAAATATTTTCTTACATAGCAAAACATAAATAAATATTGAGTTTACTTTGAAAGCTGAGAGTTATGAGGAAACACAATTGAATAAAGACGACTGAAGCAGTTAAGCTCCATTTCCTAAAGCTTTTTACAGAAAAGGAAAACATGTGCTCTTAATGATGCTCTTCTAATGACTTGTATAAAAATGAAAAATGTAACCTGTTTGTTACACGAAGAAACAAAAAATAAACGTGAACAAAAAACAACAAAAAAAACAACAAAAACAAATGTTACAATAATACGTATCAAAACGTACGCACAACAATAGTGATTTGACTTCCACTTAAGCATATACTACAATACTCAAAAGCTATAAATATACTCATAACAAAAATGTATAAGTAGAAGACAGTCCATTTATATTGCCAATCATATCTTTTCAGAAACTGTTACATACATTTTTATAACTTTTTAAGAAATAATTTATAACATACGTTTACTTTATTATCTTTTTTTAATTGACTAGTTTAAACAAACATGGCCAGAAAGATTAAAACATATTCAATGTCTTTCAATGTAAAATATACACAGGCGAACAATATGTTTATCCGTAAAATAAAATGAAAAATGAAAGAAAAATGAAATATAGAAAAAAAGAAAAAATAATAAAAATAGATAAGAGAAACACATCAAGTTTTCCTACTGAAAATGATCACATGTTGTTCATAATGACTTCATATTTTTCATGTTTAATTGACTGAACTATGAAGTTTTACTTTACAGAAATCCAATGAATAAAACTATAATAACATTATAACTAAAACTACATAGTCTAATATTCCCCGCACATAATATCATATGCAATGTTGTTTGACATGTTCCTGGACTTGTCTGAATGACCCATTTAAGAGCAAAACATTGAATTATTTTTTTAAACCATGTCCTAACTTAATAATCACTTTTGTTGTCACTATTGTCCTCACTTTCCTCATCGTCCATTTTAAGCTCAATAACACAATTAGTACCTGGGTACACCGGTAAATTCAACTCATATTTTTGTTCAAGTGTTTTGGGGACAATCCGACCTCCAAGAAAGTGATGTTTGCCTTTAAAAAACTTTGCACAGTTTTTAGGAGCGATAAGAGAAATAAGCATATCTGGTTTCAGTCCATTTTCATCGCCGGACTCGATATCCCATCCTGAAACATGGAAATAGCATTAACTACTCGAATGAATTCAAATGAATATTGTAAGATTAACATACTATTAAACAGTTCATTCCTTGTTGTTTTTGCCAAAAGTGGTATTAACGTTATTGAGACAGGCATTAACCAGTACAATATAATACCTTATGTGCCTGAGAAAAAGCTTATTCTTAAGAACATGATATTTAACGAAATGAACCATACATTGTAATGAATCGGAGTTGGGAATTGACATCAAATTGTCAGAAGCTTTACATACCAGACGGTACATCTATACTGCAAATTGGTGATTCGACTTTCTTTAAAGTATCCATTACAGACTCAAAGTCCGTTCTTACAGGACCTGTCGATAGAACAAAATAAAAAAAGACAGTCATTCTATACTTTGTGCAAAAGATAAAAGATTTTGTCTCTTTCTTAAATTACTTAATTTTAAACAAAAAAAATCGTAAAAACCTATACTTTCATTGAAATGACAACAAATTAGCTAAAATAACCTGTGTGTTTGTAACTACAGGAATTAAGAATTTAGACTCACAATACAATTCAAAACTTATCATATACATGGAACATTTTCTTTGCGTATATAATAAATAATGATAAGCAACATGATGTGCGTTTATTTTCTTTTTTTTTTTGATTGAGTGACTGGTTAGTTAATTGGTTGGTGGTCGGTTGAAGGTCATACCGACAATGCAATGGTCATGCTATTTGAATAAAAATTGGGTAAAATTCAGCATAACAAAGCTCAAAATTACCATCAAAGTTAAGTCCAAATAATGCATCAACGACGAAGTTGTACGAGTCTGTAATTAGATGTGCTTCAGACGGACAGAATGATAATAAAGGCATGTCCAAGCCTTCGCATTGTTTATACAGGCGGTTAAATAGAGGCTTGTTCGGTCTCTTTGGATAGAATATTGTTGGCTTATATCCCTGCAATAAATACAACAGAAAACATAAAAAGGAGTATAAACATAAAATATAGATGTAATTTATTTGCATTGATTTGAGTACATATTTTATTTCTTACAGATTAAACGAGTCTGTGCTAGGTGCAAAGTCTAATGCTTTCATTACAAGGTTTACTCTTTTATTCTATTACATTCTATTCAATAAGATCAAATGTAAATGTAAAGCAATTGATCTTAACAGTGGCTGTAAAACGTAAACCTAGATAAGTGACAGATGATAATAAAAATAACAACAACAATATTATTTTTCATATGAAGCAAAATATGAAACAGAAATATTTTATTTAAATCATCTTTGGTTTAAGTGATAGCAAATAAAAAAAAAAAGACAGAACTTGCACACACAGATACTGTACATCCTAAAACTACTGTATCAGTAGTGCAGAAAGACTGAATAAAATACAAACAATAACATACAAACATTTTCAGATGTCTGGCACACACAAGTCCATCCCCGCCATTATTTCCAGGTCCACAACAGACAAGGACAGCATGGTTATCTTTTGTCATCTTTTCAACTGGGTAACACTAAAAAACATGCCATTATTATAGAAGTAACCAACACTTTAACAATCTAAGCATGACAAAATTACCATCAAATTTGATTAAGAGTTTTATGCACATTGCTTTTTATACGATATGGTAAATACTGCGATTGTACTTAGCTGCCCAACTCATAAATGAAAGCTTTTAAAATTATTCAAGACATATTCAATCATGTTGGCGTAAAGTTAGGTGCCTTTGATCTTTTTCAAAGTGTACATCAATCGATAACTGCGGTGCTTCATTATAAGCAACCTTTGTAGGGTTTGTTTATATCAATCTTATCAGAAAATAATTGTCAGGTCTCCATAGTCACAAGCATAATAGGCATTTGCTAATTGCAAAGACAATATCAAATATTCGTAAGGAATAGTTTTCACAAAGGACAATTGAATACTGAACAATTATAGCATCATATCATAGAAGTTGCTGATTTGTTTTGATCATCGTTTCCAAGAAAATAAATATTTTTATTAAAAAATATTTTTTTTACGGAAAACAACGTAAGAGATATAAAGCAATAAAGAAACTCTAGTTTGAAATACAAGTATGATAACTCACATTTGCTATGGCAACAGCAGAACTATATCCCGAAAGCTCCATAAGTTGATCAACACTAAAGGCATATTCTGTGAATAATTCTTGCTCGATTTCTCTGGCCTCTTTCTGACTGAAACAATAAAGATATTCCTATTTTTTGTCGTGAAATACAGATCTTGGTTAAACATTACACTGCTTTTATCACAGCTTTGTAGGTAATTAATTAGTTTTTTTTATTTCATTAACTGGGTTCAATGAATAAGATATTGAAAATAAGAACTGTTTAAGGGTCATAATGAGATGCATGTGTGGGCATGGGTGATTACTACACAAGCTCTTTACCGTAACGAAGTGTTTTGGAGGTTTTTTTACGAAAGGTTTCTTAATATTTCTGTTTTACTGTGTGTTTTTTTAAACTATCGATGCAAAAGGAAGATATATAAATGACATATTTTTTAATAAAACCAAGAAATGTTTAAGGGCAAACCAATCCTGTTAAAGGTTGCGGGTGTTTGAATGTAACGGAAAAGTAAAGCAAAATGAATGATAAAAATAATAAAGAGTATTTTAAATATGGTTCACGGCTAAGGATATATTTTTTAGATTTTAAATATGATAACAAAGATCAACAATGAAGTGTTAAATTCTTTAAAAACATCTCACAATGAATAAAGGAACACATGACCACCAGCAAGGAGCCAAGAGAAACAAAAATAGTGCACAATGGTTAAGCACGGGGGAAGACTTGGTTATCTCTTCTTATATCGTGTTAATTTCTATTTTGATAATTTAATATTCATGTGTCAAGATGTTGATTTATATTCCATTTCTTAAATCCAACTTCCCATGAAAAAATTGGATAGTGTATAAATTTGGTTTTACCTTTAAATATATCCAAATTATGTTGTTAAATTATAGATATTCTTTTAAGCGTTTGTCTAAATGGGAACGTTTTAGGTACATACGCTAAGATAAAATGTCTTGTCAATCTCATTCTACAGACTAATTAAAGCAAATATTAAAATCCTGGATTCTGATGTAGACAGCGCTGAAGCACAGATAGTTTCAACAATAGTTTTATTACAACAGACAGATACATTGTTACATCTTATATTTGATCAGAGCCTAATCTTCAAAATATTTGCACATAAAAGTATAATAAAGTATTTTTCTAGCTACTGTCGTATTAATATGATACATTATAATGAACGTGTACTTCTAAACAGCCTTTAACCGAACATCTCAATTTATGTTTGTTAGGCTTATAGGTCGAAATTCGGTTTTTTAAAGGTTTAAACTGCATGTACCAAATTTTGGTAAATTAAGGTCTGCAGGAGACATGTTCAAAATGGTTGTTTCGGGAGGAAAAGCTGAATTCTAGAGATTAAAAAATAACCGTTTAAACCACTTCTTTTCAGTTCGTGTTGTTCGACATATTTTGCATGACTTTACAAATAATTTACACAAATCGTGTTTATAGAAGCGGTTTAGGAATACTTGAGGGGGCATGTTGAATGTCGCTAGCAATATATTAATAGGATAATTAAAACAAAGTATCTTTGAATGGCTATTGATCTCTTGATTTCTCTTTGTTTCCATCTCCCAAGTGGGTTTCGCCTTACTTCATACTTCTTTTACAGAATATCACTGACATATAAGAAATTAAGATAGTTATGATTTAAGACAGCTGTGTGTCGTTCCACCTTCTCATTATAAGTATATAATTATCTCAGCAGTATTGTTGCTTCACATATTCACTTCTTTCTTTTTACAACATGAGACGGCTCACTGTTAACTCAAGAAAGAATATGATTTAAATATCAAAGACATTTATTGAGTATCTTAATGTGTCTGAAGATAACAAGAATAAACCCCTCTTCTTTATTAAAGCACACAATTTTATAAACTTAAGATGTTTCTGTATGTGAGAGCAAGTTTGAGACAATTGATACAAATAACTGCTTTGTCACTACAATATTACCTCAACAACCAGTTTTTTTTAACTCGAATTTTGTAACATTATGTACCTTAATTAACATGTAAGATATTGAGGAGAGAAACGCATGCCATTTTATTGATTAATGTTTAGGCTCCATTCACAACATATCTTATGTTTTTTCTGCAGTAATTAAAAGTGGATTTGGGTGTCATTTCTCTAGAGGTATAAGTCTTTTCTACATAGTTTGTTGGGTGTTTTCAATTACAGATAGACTATAACTGACTTGAAGTTAAAATAGAGATACTGCAAACAACGTTTTTTTATCCATGTCATGTGAAGCTGTTACATTTGTTTAACCATCTCTATAATCTAGGCGTTGATAATGCAGTGAGAAAATGCATCAATACGAAATGCATATCTTAGGTCTTGATATTTTTTACAATATAAATTGATCCATGTGTGTACAATGGGTTTAGGTTGACGATGTAGAGTCAAACCATGGTCTCTACCGGCCACTGGAGTCAAAATCTTTCTTGCTGTTTCCAACAATTATAATTACAAAATATTGCGGTTTATACGTTTTGCGTACCTAAAACGCCACCTTTCTTGTTAACCTTGTTTTTTATATTTAAGACGTTCCTCGCCACATTGTGTGTGATTTCGGCAGAAAAACACTTTACTTTATTTTTTAAAGTTTTTAAGATTTAGTTGCTTTGAAAGATTTGTTTTAAATTTACTGATAACATAAAATAGGAAAAGGGTGAAAAATGAAGACACATGCAAAACCTGTTTAAACGCCCTGTATAAGAACTACTTGATTTCAAACCACCGTTAGTTTATTGAAGTTTATTCAAGTACGCATTTTACATAAATATTCATAAATTTCCTTTCTACAACACACCTTAAAGGCATGCCCGAATGCGCCGGTTTATTTCGTTCTCGCTTAACAAAAAAGCCCAAACTATAATAAAGCATAAATTTTTTTTGTTTTTACTTCAAAAATAGATTTTGGGGCCCAAAAAACCATTTAAATTTCTTTATTTTTGTTTTTCATACTGGGGTTTAAAAAGGTTTTTAAAAAATATTTATTCATTTAAGGTTTAATTGAAAAAAAACCAAAAAAAAAAATTTTTATATAAATTAAAAAAATTTTAAAAATTTTAAATTTTTTTTTTTAAAAAAGGGCGGGCCCCAAACATTTTAAAATTACAATTACAACAATAATGCAAAATGTTCCCTACAAAATTTTTTCATTTGAAAAAAAAAAAAATTTAAAAAAAAACCAAAAAAAAAATTTCAAAAAAATTTTGAACTTATATAATTGAAAAGGGAAAAGAAACCAAAAAAAAATTGTATAATGGTTCGCACCAAACATGCTTTTTTTTTATGGAATGGTTAAAATCTGAATTTGTTGTTTAATTATACAAATCTATATTAAAATAGAATCAAACTCAAAAGTTTTGTTTAACATTACCTTTTTTTCACAATCTTGAATATATTTTGAATATCTTAAAAATGTATTAAATTCTATATAAAATCAATTTTAAAACATAATCTTACCTAATGTACTTTAATTTTGGCTGTTCAACTTCATCAATTTTATCCTCATGTTTGTCTTCTTTTTGTTTATCCTTTTTATGACTTCCTTTTCTACGAAATGAAAATCGGTTCACGGAAATCTTATCCATCTTATCCATCTATTTCTTTTATAGTTTGAAGTATATTTAAATTATGAATTATTTTTATCTTAAATAGTAGCTGTTTACAAAGTGATTGATTTAAGTAAACATTTAATAAATAAATAAAGAAAGTCTATTGCATAACGTATTCATAATATTTTATCCATTTAAAACCTAGCTTTATTTTTCACATAAACAAGTTATATCAGAATTATTATCAGTTTTAAATCCTTATTTAAGTATCCGAAGAAAAAACATCGTAAACAAATATGGCTACAGTTGTTTCACAAGACGAGAACTAATCCCGCATACAAATGGCAAGCAGACGGCGAACGTCACTTCACATATTTCCAATAACAATATTAGATGTCCTCCTTCACTTTCCAATATAAAACTATAGTAGTGGTTAATCTCCTGCTACGGTATTAAACAAGTTTGAAATATAGAATACACGGATGTGGTATTGTTGTAAGTTAATTACAAATCATACATATGCTGGATTACGATAAATTTGTCATATATATAAAACACCGTGTCAAAAACAGTTAACATTATCGTTATCGATTATAATATTTAAGTCGTACACATAGCTATTCATATCAGTATGATTGAAATTTGTTTTGATTCACGGACTTTCATCATGAAAGTATATTTACTGTCACATATACAATGCAGACACAGTTCCACTTTGTATGAAATCATACGTCGCAGATTTATATGACGTAGAATAAATACTCATAATTAAAACATTTTAGATGTAGTTTGTTTTAATGATATTTTTAAATGTAACAAAATTCAACCACTTGTCGAGCAATCAAAGGTTGTACTTACATGAATCTTTGTATTTATCTATTTCGAGGCAATGGAATACTGATTCACAATATCGAGGAATAAATAATGTGTAAAGGTTTGCTTAGTAATGATGAAAATGTCTGAAGTAATTTTACCAATCAGTCATTGTATGTTTTCGTCATCAGACAAAGGCCAAAGGCAACAATTATTTGGTAAATATAATAAGGAATATTTTCAAATAATCACATCATATAGTTTTTTAGCAGATCCATTTTCCTTTATTTTTTTATAAATCTAGATTCAACAAAGTAGGTTCTTCTCGATTAAGTCCATGCGATTTCAATTGTCCAGGATATATAAAACTATTTAAAGGTTTATGCGATATTTGCCCGTAACATCTGCATATTAAACCTTTATTTTCCATGAATATTCCATGAATGCTGGTGTATATGTTATGGTATTTTTTTGAACTTTGTTTTTGTTTTGTTGTTTTTGTTTGTGTGTTTTTATGAACGTGCATCGGCATAGTTTATATCATATGGCGTCATTATAAACTAAATGCAACACAAGGTCTTAAAACCATCTCACCTGCAGGAGCTAATGGATGGATAAATCCCAGTAACGATAAGCAATTAAGTCGCATCAAACGATCGTTGGTTTCATTTCTGATGCCTCAATTCATAAAAATCAACTGGCTGCATGTAAGAAAGTTTTTTTTATTATAGAAAGATAACTATGAAATGTTATAAACAAACACATAGCAGGGAGTCACATTTTCTTTGTTTAAAATTTAGGTAACAGTTTTTTTTTTGCGATTGGCATCTGGCAATTTGTATTTAATTTTGTAAATTACTAGTATCGGAACTTTTCAAACTTTTTATTTCTACTTGAATGCTGTATAATCACCATTAGCATAATTATTTTGCCTGATTTTCAAATTTGTCTTTTTGACATTTTGTGTGTGATATGCAGTTTTCATAACCTCAAAGCCCCTTTTCAAAATTATATTTTATTTAGTTCTGGTAATTGTTTTCTCGTTACGGAACACGCTTTCTTTTAATTTGGGGAACATACGCCGCTTTTACTCTGAATAACACTAACATGTTACATTAAAAATTCTATGATAACCGTCATATGAATACATCTGCGAATGTTTCTAAGTATAGAAGATCACTATTTTCATGTTTAAATGTTGTATTTTGCTTAAGCCGGTGCTATGGGACATGTACAGTTAATTGCACGTTCCAGTACCGTCTATGAACTTACTCAATCTAACCGAACCTAACATTTTCAATTTTGTCGTTTGGGCATTTCGTTTTCCTCTATGTCCAAAGTGAATGCAAAACAAAAAAGATCTTCGATCATTTTCCTCTACCATGTATCCGAAGAAATCGAAATAAATAGCCATAACTACAAAAAGAAATATAAATCTAGGAAAAGAAATTAAATGTTACAAATAGCATTCAATCGCATTGTCTGAAAAAACCAGTACGTCGATTTGTATATGTTATTATTTCCTTATCACATTGATTTATATTCTTTCTGTATATTTACTATTATCTTTGTTACAAGAGTTATGTGTTTTTGTACTGGAAACAAAGGGTCATATAATTTATTTATCAGTATAAGATTAATTTGTAAAGAGCTATAAGACTCTATGAGATCCGTTTAATGTGTGGAAAAGAAAAACAGAATTGTAATATTGAAATGAGTGTTGCTTAGAAAATACGTTGGGTTGTCCTGTAAAAAAACTAAATCTCAATTAACATCGACAAATAAATACAATACATTTCTATATGTGATGCATATCTTCCGCAACTGCTTCTTAGAATAATATTGAATGTATCAAAGCTATAATAATTATAAAATATACATAAAACAAAACACTGAACACGACGGTTTAACATGACAACATCACTTTGGGACGCGTTAATAACCATGGCATTAAGTTTTAAGCCCCCAACCAAGAAATTTCATATGAGCTTGCATACAGCATACACAAGGTATTATGCTGTATGTTCTAAACATTTTTATAAGTGATTCCCGTAGTTTGTACAATATAAATGATAACGGCAACGGTAATTATTCATTGACATCAATAACGTTGGCGTGATAATTGTATATCGCCCGGGACACTTATTTTCAAACACGATATTTTGCTTCTATTTTAATCAATTAAACAACTTGAACAAAACTTATCTTCATTATCTTTAAGAAAATATCCATAAGTCACACGTGTTGTAAGATTCCTTAATATATGCACAACTTCAACGCTGCTTGCATTTCTTACTGTCCCGGCATCTTTCAATGTTTCTTAGAAAAAAATATGCAAAGACTTAGTCTAATAGTTTTGGAATGACTTCGAATGAAGCAGCGTCATAAAAGTGCATAAACAACATGCCCATAAATAGTCGTACCATGCAGCCAATTTCTATTTTAACGGAAGCAGAATAGTTATTATCTTTATTGAAAACATTTTAGTAGATAGTAGTTTAAACATTTAAGTTTATCAAACAAATTAATTACACCATGTCATAAAACGTAATGGTAGTATAAATCAGGTATTGTATTAAAATATTAATGTCTTAAGTAAGTTTATATTTTTCTTTTATTTATTCAAGTTTTCTTAACACAAAAGCAAAAGACAAGACAAAAAATACAAAGCTTTCATTTGGGTTTTCTTAAATTCATTCGAATAAAATTGGTTAATGTACACCATCTGTTCATATAAACAAAGGCATATTATATTTGTATACACTTTCCTCAATGCAAAACATTTATAAAAACTTATCTGCGAATATTTAGTATATTTAACAATGAATTGTTACGGCAAATGTTGCAGAAAATCATGCAATTCCTGCAGACATTTATTCATCTAAATATAATGTTATCATTATATTTAAATTCTTATATAACGATACATTTTTGTTAAATCAAACATTAGAAAATTAGAGTCTAGACAAAATACATTTATATACAGGCTATAATTAGTTGCTCTCAAACATTTTATTTTTTATATTGCACCAAAATCAAATGTAGAAAACGGCACGTATCTGGTAGATGCCGTTTGTCAACTACATATAGCCATTTCTTTCTTTTTAAAAAAAATATTTTACAGTTTTTCGCAACTAAGTTGTCGGAAAGAATGTGAAAAAATGCAAAAAAAAGCTGTTAAAAAAAAGCTATTTTTGAACAATCCGTTCAATTTAAATTCAGCTTAAATTACATTCTATCTATGTGATTATCGTAATTCGTACAAGGCATAATCAACTCAGTCTCTTAAGAAAGTATACAATGTCAATAAAAATATTCAGTTATTAAAATACTCACTTTTAACTATAGTTTTTCAATTGACCTTTTCATGTGTTAAACAAAATATAGCTTACCATTCTATACTCATTCTTTTTTTAATTTCTGTATGTTCGATGCAACATTATGATAAGTAATATGCATGCTATTTTTTACGATTTGTCCATAAAATGATGATAAAATACCCTTAACTTTAGTCGAAAGATCGAAAAATGTCAGAAAAGGAATTATATTAAGTATTGCTTATCATTGTAAGATATATTATTTATTATATTATGCTCAAAATTTACAAATTTTATTATTCACCGTTAAAGAGTGTAATTTAAAATATGCCTCCGATAAAATTCTACTAGTCCAAAGACATAAAAATGCAATAAAAATACGAGCAGGCGATCAATATAGCATTACGGTGTTTTAAGCATAACAATCAATTATGAGACTATAATCTTGCTATGGGGAAAACAAAACTTGAGATTTCATCTCAATTCACCTTAAGCCTAATACCTTATAACGTTGCTGATGTAATATTTATATACAATAATTGAATACGGAATGTCTATTAGCCTGTAGAAGTTATGTCCTAATAAATAGCACGGAATTTGTCAAATAATGTTAGGGGCAAATCGAAAAACATAATTCAGTATCTCGCTAAGAAAATGTACAGAGACAAATCTCTGAAAGAGGTATCGTTTAGTTATGACGAAATGAGATGTTAATTGAATAGCATCATATCTTATTTAATATTGTAGCGATTTCGACAATCGAATGTAGTAATGTGCAAGCTTACGCATGTACTTCTTTTGCAAATGATAAATTTATTTATCTTTAACATTTGTTTTTACTTTGGTTTACTTTTACAAATGATCCACAGATGTGGACATTATGGACGCACATATTACAGTCCCCTAATTAAGATTCATTCGCATATGAGGCCATCAGAAGTATATATGACGGATTATTATCGTACGAATTTGTAAATTGGATATTTAAAATGTTCTTACTAAAATTAACATACCTAGGGTTATGCACTCAGCTGCACACAGTAGCTGCAACACACAAATTGGCAACACATATGATCACTGATCGCTCTT